GTCGTGTACAGGTCTTGTTGTGTTACGACTCGAAGCCCTCGGGAATGTGTGAAAGGAGAACTAGTGATGGTCAGTTACGTACTTTGTACGGAATATAAGATACACTTACACGCAAAATAAATATTTTTTTTCAAAACGTGGTAATCCTGTTAATTTCGTTTTTTGTTATGCATGTGGAGTCCATCTTTTCCTTACAGCCACTTCTTCTTCACATGTCGACCGCTGTGCGGCGCTACACATCAGTTAATGTGTCGACGTGTTCCCTCGCGGTTTCCAACATAGTGGGCCTCCAGAGTTCAACTCTGCTTTTACGTAACTGCAGAATATTGTCAGCGCACGCACGCGCGCACACACACACACACGACCTGAAATGTGGTCTTGCAAACTATATATCAGGAGTTGTCAATAACTTAACATGGCCGCCACTGGGAGTTTGCCAAGTTCGAAAAGCGTTCAAACCATTAAAGATTGCTTTCAAATATAATTTTAAGCAATGCTTATGACACAACCATTAAATTTTTAGAACTCCAAACTATGCTGACATTATGTAAGACAGAATTAATGTTTCATGTACTCTCAGCTTTAAAAAGTATCGGGTTTAACACAATAGCTGTTTCTTTCTAGAATATAATGTGAGTTCCAATTCATCGAAAAATTTCAGTTGCATGAATTTTTCTTGTCCATAGTCTCGGGATTGGAAATGTTGAAGACTCCAGTACACATTTGTACTGTAGGTTGGTAACATTGGAACTACGTCATTTTAGCTTCATGCATCATGGAGGCCTGCAACGTGCAGTAGAAAATTTTCTTTGCGAAACAGCACTACAAACATGGAAACTTAAAAATTCCGTGAAGATTTTGGTGATATAAAAACCAACAAAACATGCATTTGGTTTTAGTTAAGCAGTTTTAAGTGAAAGATAACTTACTCGGTAGTCGGAGAGGTTATGGTGGGCGCTCATCTACAAACACGTATGATATGGTGTCTGAAGCCTGATAAACATTTCAGTGGAGTCCTAAGAAACGCTTGTAACATACTTCATAGCAATAAATTTAAGTTATAGCACCATCAGAAAAATTTACCGCTTACTTATAGTCACTTTAACTAACTGCTGTAAAACACATTTAAAGTTTTTCTACTATATTTTAGGCTCTCTTTGGGCACAAAACGCACATCTTAAACACACTATAGTTTACTATTGAACAAACAGGATGCTTGTTACTGGGTTTAAAAATACCAGAGGTTACTTCTAACATTTCGTTACTTCCTGAAAATGAGCTAATCAGCCGGAAACATGTATTAAATTCACCCAAAAAAAGTAACTTATACTCTGCCTCAGGCTTCAAGACATATATCCGTCTCGCATATAGCATGATACACGCGCTATTGTGAACCAACCTTAACACGAAAGAAGACACACAAAACCATCAATCATGTAGTAATTCTGTCACAGACTCTTGGCTAAACCATGGTCGCAAAGCCAGACTGCCCTTGGTCATTAATCCCATGATAGTTGTCTACTCTCAGAGACCGGTGCCATGTAGCTAAGAAGGAAACAACATTCTGTTGGCACAGTAATTATTTTGCGTTTAAGTTATCTCTACATCGCAACCTATAATCCATTATCTTAAGTTTCTCTGCGGTAGACTAATGAGAAGGAGTACACACGCCATTATCACGTAAACAGATTCGATATTACATTTTCCTTTGTCCGTAGTGGACAGTCAAAATCTGTGAGTGAAACCGAAGACATTGCGTTTCTTATACTAACCATTCTGCGCTCACTATAACCAGAAGAATGGCCAAGGTCACAGCAAATATTCCGCTGTCTTTAGGTTAATACTTATTAAAAGGTCACAGCAAATATTCCGCTGTCTTTGGGTTAATACTTATTACCTCAGCTAAAAACATTCGCAACAAATCTGCAGTAAACTAATTACTGTTTCGCAAATTTACGATCCTATATGACATGAGTTTTAAGCTTGTCTTATTACTAGATTTATTTCTTCACTACAAAGAAATAATTTAAAATCGCAATTACTTAATAGGTCACCCCATCAGACTCATGCAGTGTGTATTACTAACCTACAAATCTGAATGATTTATTATTTTGTGTTTTGAATTGTAAATTTGGCTTAAGGTAATTCCTGACAAGTTACAGATGTTGAAAACTTCTTCTCGTGAACATTTTTCACAGCGTCCAAATACCTAAGTCGTATAATTATTAATTTATAAATCTAGCAGACTGCTCTTTTAACGGCGCAATAATTTAAAGAAAACAAATCTTTGTGAGTTATACCGAAAACTCGTTGCTTTATCTTAATCTATACAAAAAAATAATTTATTTAACAAAAAAATAATACATTACTCCCAAGCATTTAGATACATAAGCACATTCAATTAGAACAAAAGCCCGTAGCAATTAAACTGTCAAAACAAAGTTTCTACGTATGCTTCGTTTTATCTCTTTCAAATATGCCTTTATAAAAACCGAGAGCGTTCAAGAGAAATAAAAAATACATTCATATGGAAAAACGTATTTATTTCCGTCAAGATTTGCAATTCAAATTTCTAGTGTTAAAATTCTTATCCACAAAGAAAATTGTTTTAAAGCCATTACCCCCCACTGCAAAGAAAGAAAACAACTTTCCCTAGGAGGGGAGAAGAGAAGCTAATTACAGTTTTGCCAATCCCTGATATGAAAACTTACACCACAGACAGCTTTCTAACGAGTATCTTGTATGTATGTATGTGTATATATAAATATATAAATGTGCGTTTTTGCCACCTTGGAATCAGCCTATATATCAGGTGGTAGGAGACAAAATGGCAGGTACTGGTACTGTCTGTTAATAGAAAAAGTGATCGCACGATGTATCTACATCATTAACAATAGAACAAACTTCTACAAGACTATAATACGCAAAAATCCAGAAGAAAGCCATCATTCCTTGTCGCCGTGAGAACCTAAAATCTCATCTAACACAAAACACTTTACTAGCGAACACACGCACAATCACTAGATTGGACCCTGCGCACCATGAGACATCAATGGCTAAAAGTACATAGAAACAATAAATGTGTGAAAGTGGATATGGTGAAACTAAATAGAGAAAATAAATTCTTCAATTATGATCTCCGCGTATGGCACTGGTCCGCAAGTTTATTGATCTCAAATGTAATTTAATTATTTCAAAATTCTCCACACAACAAACACCAATTTGTATATATGTGTAAATTATTGCTATTTTATTTCGTTAAATGCAGCAAGGATAATTGGCGGCTGTGCCGCAAGGGCTAGGTATGAAACGCAACCGCGCATATGCCGTGCTTCTAACACAGCCGCTAAATAACCTCATTTTAAAAAAAAACATATTCAAGATTGTCAAATAAATTTTGGTTATCGTAATAAAATACCATTTATGTTATTTATCAATGTGTTATGGTGAGACATTTACTTGTGTGGTGTATGGGGTTTTCATTAATTAACAGGATCAAAATTAAATTAATTTTACTTTAAACTCTAATGTCAAATTTCATATAAATCCGCTTATCAGTTCAAACTTACAGACGACCGCATAAACTGTCTAATCACGCGTTTCGTTTATACATTTTATCCAAAGAACGCTTAAAAATTTAGCTACATTTGTTCCCAGAAATGAACACTACATATAACAGTATAGGATCATAAACAGTGTTAAGATAACAGACCTTTAACCACGTGTGCAATGGCGAAACAGAAGAGACGAGTGAAAAATTATAATAAAATCGGGAAGAAATAGAGAGGACTTGTGTTACATCCACAAAAGCTGAAGGTGTCCCATGTCCTCACCAGAATATTAACATCCTTAAGCTTAAAACCCAGCTGCATATTTCCATGGAGACACGTGGGATAAGGTCGAAATTCTTAACTAGTTTAAAAACAGCGCGTTACGTGATGTCTCCTCTGGTTTGCCTTAGGAACATTTCGAGAACACTGTGCCAGGTTGACAGAACTGTGTTGCCTTACTATCATGTGGTTAAATATTCGTAAGGGAGCAGTTAGAGTGCGTATTGTTTAAGATTTAATCTTAAATAAGTAGGATAAAAGAGTTTGGGCTGGATTCATCTAGCATAAGATATAATACAAATTCTTATTCGACAGTTCGTAAACTCTTTTGTACGTTTAACAGTCGAAGATAAAGGTCTTCCCTGACAGTAGTTCCGTTTGTTGTACAGGTCTGCAAATGCGTTG